GGCTTACAGTGGATCATTCAAGAATATGAATCAACTAGCAGTCTTACCCTGTGTTGCCCAGGTCCTTCAGGGAAGTCTTGGGGATGGGAGGTGCCGGAGGCTGGTACGGAGTGGGGTTCAAGAGTGAGGGTTGTAGGGATGAGGAGAGACTCAGGGTGGGAGGTCCCATCTGGCACTAGCGATATAAGCAATCAGTTGACTTACGCGTTAGTCTAGTCGACTACTTGAATCGTTCCCTCCCCATTGCTGCCTCGGTATCAGAGGCACCGAGGGAAGCAGGAGCCGATGCTGGAGGCAGCCCCTGTCTGCGGGTTTCCCAGCAGACCACCACAGATTGGGACTGTTCCATCTGGGCAGGCTTTTGCTGGACCCTAGCCCCCCACTCCGGCTGTGCAGTTTAAATGTAGTAGAGCCGGAAAGGCAGTCCAGCTCTTACTATGTTTAAACTGCAGAGCTGAAGTGGGGATACGTCCCAGACCTGGTGTGAGCCAGGACTGTTCCGGGCTCGCTCATTCTCAGCTCGCGCCGAGTCCAGGACCCACCCCTTCTGTGGCTCTGCAGTTTAAATGCAGAAGGAGCTGGGCTGCCGGGCTGCCTAGCTCTTAGTACATTTAAACCACAGAGCTGCAGTGAGGGTAGCTCCCAAACCAGGCATGAACCAGGATTAAACACTTCTTCCCTTATCAACTAATTGTGTAGTTGATCATTCTTTTGACTACACGATTAGCGATTACCCACCTCTTAACATCCTTATCTGGCACAGGCCTTTTCTCTCCCCTCTGGCTGTCAGTGGCTGTTTTCTCTCACCCCACAGTCCTTCAGCGCTTCAGGGAAGAAGTGTTGGGGGCTACTTACTTAATATGCTTGCAGGCAAGATGGCAGAGCATCAGCCCTGCTGGCCAATCCCTTTGTGGTATGGCTTTGCACAGTGGACACTCCACAATAGCTCCCCCTGTGGACTCTGTGCCCCAAGTGGCCACTCTCATATTGCAACTCTCCAAACAGCTGGCCCTCTCTTTGAGTGTTATGGAAAACAGTACTTTTCCCTGTGTTGCCAGTTCTCCTGGCACAACCAAACCCAGACCTTGCTTTAAGTTAGGATAAGAGAAAGCTGCATTCCAAATGTGATGGTCCTCGCTCCTGAACAAACGGACTCGCATACAGACACACAGACAGATGCATACAGCCTGGGGTCTGGTAGCCAGAGGCTGGCAGCCCCTGGAAGATCCTAGAGGCCAGCAGCAGGAGGCCAGAATTGACCTCCTTTGGGCCAGCAAACTCCAGTCATGAGGGTGCCAGACCAGGGAGGCCCAACATGTAGATTATTGATGAGCTAATACAAAGAATAGGAATGTTTTCAAAAACTGAAAAATAAACACTACTTTTAAATTAATCAGTGTAACAAACCCACAGCTTTTATGCTATATACAGAATAAAAGTAGGAAATTGTGTGGGTGTGTATGTGTATGTGTGTCTGTGAATGTAAACATAATGCAACTTTAGTGAGAAGAATTATTATAGTTCCTTATTTGGCCCAAAACTATTAAATCATCTTACTGCTTCTTATCAGAGACACATGCCATTTTAATTCCAGTGGTGTTCTTATTAATGAGAAAAATTAAGTGACAGACTCTAGTCTTGAAACAAGCTGTGAAAAGGTTTTAGCTTTTTCCTTTCCCTTGCTTTCTTTACAAGCAGCCACCAATAAAGCTTACAGCTCTAGGTTCTCAAGCTGTGGTCATCTTACAATCCTCCTGTGCATCTTCCACTCTTAACTAATTTAGACTACAAGTAAAAGATGTTTCATGTTTATCTCAATTCTTTGGAATGTTATGTTGCCATAGAAGTTGAAGAACATTCTTGCCTCACAGTAGAAATGCAAGGAAAATACTGTAGACAGAATTTTCATTCATGGAGAATCCATCAGTAGTGGGACCTGTAGGAGAAGAACTTTTGATATCCAAAGTGGTAGCAGTATCTGTAGAGCTAAAGGGCAGACTCCCTTATTTGAAGGCTGCTGATGTCTGAAAGAGGATATAATATTAATACTTTCTTTGTGTTTGATCCCTTTCGTCTCTGTGAGGTTTGTTGCAGTCCATTGAAACACAGTAGCTTAGCTCTCTTGCTCTTGACAAGCCATTTCTGTTTAACTATCAGTAAATGTTAGATCAGTAATAAATACATAATACTGGTAATATGTGTTTGATATACCAAGCAACCTTTTTTTATGCTGAATTGTAGTGATGCCAGTACACATAGTACAGTAGAACCTCTGATTTATGAACACATTGGGAATAGAGGTTGTTTGTAAATCGAAATCTTCTTAACTCTGAACAAAACAAAGGGGAGGGGTAGTTCTTTCAAAAGTTTACAACTGTACGTTGATTTAGTATATTGACTTGAAACTTTACTGTACAGAAGAAAAATCCTACTTTTAACCATCTTAGTTTAAATGAAAGAAGAACAGAAACCATTTTCTTACCTTGTCAGATCTTTTTAACCTGGGCTGTGCCCATGAAAGCTCATGATAACATCTACATGTTTTGTTAGTCTTTAAAGTGCTACTAGACTATTTGTTGTTTTTTAAGTTTATCCTGTATGGACTAACTCAGCTACCCCTTGACCCTTTTTTTTTAGTTGTTTATGTTTAGCATAATACTGTACAGTATTTGCTGTTTTGGGGCCTGTGCCTGATTGCGTACTTCCAATTCCAAATATGAGTTTGGTTGATCAGCCAGTTTGTAACTCTGGGGCTCATAACTCTGAGCTTCTACTGTTGTTTTTCTCCCAGAACAATACTGCAGTTCCTATTTATGTAATTGATTCATCTTATAATTACTTTACAATTGCATAACCTGGCACTTACATGAATACATAACATGTTAAGGAGGATTTCTGCCTGAGTGAAGTTTTTGAGTAATGTCTGCTTGAGTAATATATTGAAAGGCTTTAGTTCGTCTCCCAATCTAAAATACAATCTTAAGTTTTCTTAAGATACAAGTAATTAACATGGAAAAAAAATTACTCCTGAAACTAAACTGACATGCAAACTGTTTGAAGCATTGCATCAAAATGGCTACTTTCAAATTGTGACTTCTGGCAAGCTTAGCAGATCAGATTGAATAAGCATAAAATATCAACTATCATTTTAACTTTCTATTGGTGATCTTTTCTAGGCAGGGTTTACTATACATAAGGGGATGGTATGGGTAAACTTGTATTGCCATTGATTTGACTTTGGGGTGCCCTTTCAGTGTCTATGGCTGTCAATTAAGTACCTTTTTTCTAGGGCTCAATCTATGCACTTTTAAAATTACCATACCCAGTTTTAGACTTATGAAACACCATTTTTCACTGTGAAACACTGAAATTCCACTGTTTCAGAAGCTTAAGTGATTGTATTGGTGGGTGGGTCCACTTATGTAAGTGGAAAAATGTGGTAGAAAATCTCTTTTTTCCCAGGATTTGTCCTGGTGGGTGAGCAGATGTGAGTGGGGAGAACATAGCTGCATCCTAAGTTAATTAGTAGTAAAATTGTCATTCATGTAAATGGCACACATGGGTTGGCATGTGGTATTTAGGTTGCCTATGTCAGTATTACTGTATGTATCTTAAGACTTTTTTGTTAAAATGTTTTTACTTTGTATTGCAATGTAAATGTTACACTTTATATCTTAAAGAACTTTTCTTACCCGATGACTGAATTTGTACCCATAATAATTAACCTCCAGAGTGAAAGAATTAATCTGTTCTTTCAGAAGAGATTCCTTTGTTGTCCTGACTCTGCTGGAAAAACTTAAAAAACAATCAAAAGTCTTGCATCACCTTAGAGACTAAGAAAAAGTGTAGATGGTATCATGAGCTTTCGTGGGCACAACCCACTGTGCCCACGAAAGCTCATGATACCATCTACACTTTTTCTTAGTCTCTAAGGTGATGCAAGACTTTTGATTGTTTTTTAAGTTTTTCCAGTTACAGACTAACATGGTTACCCCTCTGAAACTTCTGCATTAATAGTATAACTGTTTTGATAAAGTACTTATGTAAATAATGTTTGCAGCCAGAGAATGCTGGAGGAGATCTCAAGGATGGCCAATATCACTATGAAGGGGCAGTGGTAATACTGGATGCTGGAGCTCAGTATGGAAAGGTCATAGATCGTCGAGTACGAGAATTGTTTGTCCAATCTGAGATCTTCCCTTTGGAGACTCCAGCTTTTGCAATCAAGGAGCAAGGATTCCGGTAGGCTCTATCTTTCTTTTTTAATTTAAATGCAAAGGAATCTGTGGATCTCAGCAACAGAATTAATTGCTTGTTTTTATAATATACCGTACTTTATTCACTGTGGTGATAACACTGCTTATGTTGTATTTAATCAGGGACATGTGAGTTTCGTTGGAGAAACTAGCACAAAGACTTGCCTAGTGCATTCATTTACTACATATTCCAACATTAGATTTAGTTTTGTTAAAACTATTGATTTCCTTGGTCACTTTCTGTTGTTATGCAAGTCTTTTGAGGGAGTAACTTTTTTATGTGCAAAATATTTGTGATAAATCTAATATTAACCTTTGGCTAGGCTTTCAACAGGAAAATACATTTTAAAAGTAATACTCGTGATAGTAAATAAGAAATCTTGCATCATTCATTTTTCCGAAAATTTTATAGCACTTAAATATTTATAGTTCCATCAAAGAATTATATAAATTGGAAATGGTATGGTATATCATGTCAGATTCTTTCTGGGAGGTGAGTAAAATTATTATGATAGTGCTTATTTTAAAAAGTTCTACCGCTTTGATTAATGCTTTTACACATTTGTTTTAGCATTTGAAAAAAGAGCTTCTTAAGGAAAAAATTGCTATCCAAGTCTTACTGATTTATGCAAATCACTTGAGTATCTAGTATCATGATACCATAATGCCAGCATAGTAAAAAATCCCAGGAATGCAGTTTGCGCACACATCACATAACAGAAGTAGCACATAATAGAAATTGCTTCCTTGAATTGCTTTTCTCTAGCCAATGATTGTTGTTGCTCTAGTAGAATGCCATTATAAATTAATGAGTCTGCAATAATCTGAATTCACTACTCTTCTTTAGAAAACACAGATGGCTATACTAGAGTAGATATTACTACACTATTGCATACCTAATATATTCAATACATCCTGTGTATGTAATTCTCTTAGAATTGCAGCTAGAAAATACTTCAAGATCTTGTTGTAAGATCCCACAAACAAATTTTGAAAAGTGGACACATGTTAAAATCTATTAAAATATTGTTTAATTTTTCATTTACTTAAGAAAGTGTTGTTTCCAGTGTGGTATCTTAAAACAGGCTACTTAGGGACTCAGTCCATCATTGAACTATGTGAATTACACAGGTATTGTGTTTTTTATCTTAAAGAAAGAGGATCCCCTTCCAAAACACAACCTGAAGTCTTTTCAAAACCTCTGCCATGATATACAATCATTGTGATACTATCAATTTTGTGGCACTGCAAATAATTACTTTTTAAAGCTAGGTGAAACACTGCCATTCAAAGGGTCACTGTTTCAGGGTTGAGGAGGATCTACAATAATGTCAAGGTTATTGGTCCTTTTGGGTAACTGATAAAAGGATACCAAGCTTTCTTCTTCTACAGACATTTATTTAAATCTAGATCATATTAGCAATGATTGAAAGTAGTCATTTAAGGGCCTTTTTAATGATATTTGTTAAACTAGTTGGTGGTGTCACTATAGTTTCCAGTTGACGGAGTGCCAATTGTGGTGGAAATAATCTGGCTCCATGCTGACATTCTCTGGCCTGACTGAGCATAACACATCTTCTGCTACCCCCCCTGCAGTTGGTTCCTTGTTGCAGGATGGAGATGTACTTGTTTGTCATTGTCAAGTCGGTGGCAGAAGCATCTCTCTGTACTGTTGCTTAAATTGTAATTATTCTGTGGCTATAAGACCTCTTAAAAGCAAGAAGAACAAAACTTTCAAATTTGATCTTCAATTAATATATCTACCTGACAAGATGGTAGGTGGGATTTTCAAAAATGCTTCACTGACTTGTTTAAACATGTTTAAAAAAAAAACAAAAAAACCCTCACACATTAACAACAAGATACCCACTCTCCAGCAGTGGAAAACTTAGTTGCGGGAATAGATGATCTATAGGGATGTAAGTGAACTTGCTAGTTCTTTGACTTCGCAGATGATCAAATCACAGAATATGCCGGAGCAGCCTTTCAGTTTGTTTACATATACCTCTAGGGGTATATTGCTGTAACTTGTGGACTTTTTAAATTTTTAATTCTGATATATGCAACACAAGCTCAATCAGAAAAATGCATTCTTATATTAGAATAAAGACATCTCTATACTTCCAACTTTGGCTGATGCACGATACATCAGCATTATGCCATCACAGTTGTTAATATATTGCTTTGTGCACATGAATACTTGTCTCCTCGCATCAGCGCTGATATGTTCACCACAAGTGCTTATGTTGATGCACAATGCAGTGCATTGTGGGTAGGTATCCCATTGTGCAATTTACTACTGTCCAGCTTGGTGCCTTTTGGAAAGGATTGGGAATGTATCATGGGGTAGAAACAAGTTATGTGGTCTAAGAGCAAAGGGTCCACTTTCCAGCATGCAACTTCTCTATCCTATAATGCCATCTATATTCCATAATTTTGCACCTTTTTTAAACATCCATGAACCTGTGTAGGATTTATCATTGTCTGCCACTCTTAACAGATACACAGAGCCTGGCAGACAATAATGGGAGGTGAACAATTACCATTTCTATAGGAGGATTTTCTTGCTGTGCTATATTAGCAGGAGAACATCAACAGTCAGACATTTAAATTTGGTTTATTTAACTAAAACAACAATATTTTAACAAAACAAGCACATGAATTTTTGAATTCAGTTAAACATTCAAGTTTTTTAAAATCAGGTTTGTTTTTGTTAAAATTGTTTTTCACTAAAATAATCTTTCATTTCTAAAAAAATATTTCATTTAACTGTCAGCCAGATCAGCAAGAGAAACTTAAAATATTGGCTTCTGCAGCTAACTCAGTCATCTTCACCTTCATTTTCTTGTTTATCCATAATCTGAAAAAGAAAAAAAAACTTTCCTGCTTATTGAGGTCTTAAACAATTTCCCAGTTTGAAATGAATGAGTCCAAAAGAAGTAAATATTCTTGCTATACCGGCAGAAGAAGCTACTGCTGTTAAAAGTACAAGTATCATATCAACTGTCTCTCAATCCAAGTGCTTAAGTGACATCCACCAGTTCACTGATGTGACTTTCTTTAAAACATCCTCAGTGAACATATATTCCTTGAATGGTTCCCCCCTTAGCTTTGATGTTTATTATAGTTGGCATTATGGAGGGATGATTGCTGGATGCCCATGTGATAGCCAGTCCATCTTCCTCAGAAGTTAAGGTTTGACCTTGATACTGAGTACTGAAAATATTTGCAAGGAAATGAGCTGGACATAGTGCTTGTCCCATTTGTGGGTATGTGTGTTTTTATGCTTGCAATTTTTCTCTGTCATTGCATATTTCTCTTTTTAAGATCTCACTCAGTTCTTCCAAATTTCAACAGCATCAGCAATAAAACAGCTATTTTCCTGCATTTTGTTCAAGTCTTCAGAAACGGGCTTTAGAGTACTCAGTATGTGTTCAACATTTCTCTTCAGCCCAACGTTGAGAACTTTGGCTGTGACAGTGCCATATTTTTTTTCATGATTCTGTTCACAAACTGTCATCAGATTAGGTCAGTTATTGATGTAGTGCTCAAAACAGTCCACTACTGAGTTCCATGACACTTCTTGTGGAACAGTTAGCTCAATTTGTAGCAGAGCAGCTGTTGCAAAGTGATTGTTATGAAAGTATTTTGCAATTTCAACATTAGCCTTTATTTCTGGAACACTGACGTCTTTGGATAGGAGGTGCATCAAATGCTTAATCTGTTTAATAATTTCAATTAAACCAGTCTCACTAGCTGCAGCACTAGTGCAGTGGCTCAGGTGTAATTATGTAATCAACAGTGATTTTCCATTAGCAATTTGTGGTCCGCGGAAAGGTATACATTGAGCCAGGTGAGCAACAGGCCAAAAAGTTTCAAAACCACTGGTCTAACACCACAAAAATGGATGGGTGAAGAGTGTCCAGTGGTTAAGGCACTCCCCTAGCATGTGTGGGATTCCATTGCCTTATGAAGAGAAGGTGTTTGAATGTGGGTCTCCCATCCCTCAAGTAACCTAACATCTGGACTATAGAATCAGTCTAATTCTCTTTGGTCCCAGGCATATTTAATGTTTTAAGTCTGTAATAGAAAATGAAATAGATTCAGTAGGAGAAACTGAGACTAATGTGAGACTGTTGCAGAGTCCCTTTGTGAATCGAACCCTATTGTTTAAAACAGAAAACAAGCAAAGAAAAAAAATCCAAGCCGTTCAGTAAAGAGACAGTTACTACAATCATATTTTAGGTTGGCTTGCATCTATTTTTTGGTCTTGGTACAAAAGTTATGCAAATACAACTTGCCATTTTTACCCATTCCAGCTCTGGAAAATGTGGCATCTTTGATTTGTGCTTTAAGTGCCTGCAAACTGAGGTTATACAAGGGATCGTAATAAGGGAGTAGGTTATCACCATTTAATGCAAACATAGAATTTTTAAAAGTGTAAATATGTTCTGTTTTTGAACTCTTTATTTTTTAAATCTATCTTGCTTGTAGGGCTATCATCATATCTGGAGGACCAAACTCTGTGTATGCAGAAGATGCACCTTGGTTTGACCCAGCAATATTTACAATAGGAAAACCAGTTCTTGGAATCTGCTATGGCATGCAGGTATTAATCACAGATATGTTTGTCTACAAATATTTTATATCCAGGTCTTAATTCAGTCACTCAACTAAGACCTATCTATTAGAACTTTCTCATATATAACTTAAGTATAATTAATAGGATAACTAAAACTTTCATGAAGAATTTCATTTTAGTGTGAATGATAATTTTGAAAATATTGAGTATACTATATACAAACTCTTCTGGTCTCTGCCATGAAAATAGCACAAGAAAATTGTGTATTTTTCCTCTGACTCTTGCTTCTATTATACATTTATCATGTTTTTATTACTGAAATTAATGGCTATGGAACTTTTTACATTAGCTGGTATTGAAGAATGCACCTCTTCCATAAACAATTGGCATAGTATGCTCAATCAGTGGCTCATCTCTTTCTTTTTGTGTGTGTAGCACTCCTTAAGGCAGTTTTTCAGGAGCAGTTCTGCTAATAGAAAACATATAAACTGATTTAATGTCTGTTTGAAACTAGAAACTGAATGAATTGATGTTTTTACTACAATAATATCTAATCTTATCATTACCAATATAGTCACGAATCCTGCTATATCAGGTGTGTTCTTCAGAATGGTTGATTTTTTTCCCCCTGAAAATCAGTAAGAACTGTAGTTAACAAGAACAGGAAAAAAATCCCATGAAATAGAAAACATACACGGCAGAATATTTCTTCTTTAAGGCTATTGTAACATTTCAAATCAGAATGAAGAAAAATTTTGTTTCGTATATATTTCTTTATTATTCAGAGTCTCATATAAATAAACTTTTGATCCAAAATGCATTTAGGCATTCAGAGTGGCTTTTCCCTGCCACTTATATTATAATTCACCTGTGATATGCATCCATTTTTTATTGTTTCAGCTGTTTATCACATAATCCTTCCAAGCCTAAATATAAGGCATATTTTTATTGGTAAATGTCAGTTTCATCATATACAAATTGACAAAATGAATTTTGATGAGTCGACATTTACAGGTAGGCAAAATAAGAGAGAAGCTGTTCAAGAACTTACTAGAGTCCACTAGTAGCAATACCAGTGCAGGAGTGGCATTTAGGTAGCTTTAACTTTTTTAATCTCAGTGTCTACTATCATCAGATAATTATTGTCTGACAACTCCGTCCCCGCCATTATGTCCTGCAGTTGTGAGAATTAAATGGATAAAAATCTTAAAAAAAAAAAAAAGCTTAAAACCAAACATTAATATTACTCATCGAAATTATAAAAAAAGCTGGCTTGGCAGAATTAAACCTTTATGTTCTTCTTATAGCCAAAATAAAGTTGTTTAAACATTATGTACCGGAGAAGTCTCAGATGTATGTATTGCTCCTTGCTTTCAGAAATACTGGGACCTAGGATGCATAACTTATTTATAGTAAACAAATGGCTGAAGAGCCAATCAATGAAAGGGAAATTGGCTCTGTTATGATTTCATTTTACAAATTTAGATGAGGAAGCAACAGAAATACATAGAAAATATGTTCAGAAATAAGTATTTCTGAAAATATGATTATTCACGGGGACGGGGGTAGGGCAGGGGAAACTTTGTGCGCTTCCCCCACCCCCATACCAATCAGGGCTCGGGGGCGGGGGAGCACGCAAAGTCTCCTCCCGCCCTGCCAGGAGTGTGCAGTGTTTCAAAGTGCCACATGCTCCAGGTAGGGAAGAGGAAACTTTCTGCACTTCCCCCACCCCCAGGCCTTAATTGGCTTGGGGCCGGGGGAGTGGCAGGGCCTCCGTGGGCCAGATCAATCTGCTTGGCAGGCTGAATCTGGCCTGCGGAGGCCCTTTTGCCCATACCTGGTTAAGGATGTTAGCATGTAGTCATTTACACGATTAACTGATAAGCCTAGACTCATCAGTTAATCCTAATGGCTACAAGCACCCCTCCCCTCTTTCTGTCTCTGTATCAGAGGCAACAAGTGGGGGGAAGGCAGAAGCTGGTGCCCACGGGGAGCCAACTTGTAAGCCAGCTCCATGCGCTTGCTGGCTCCTGCAGAGCTGCTTGTCCCCCTTCCACAGAGGCAGCAGCATGGAGGATGTCTATGGGGGACACAGGAATGGCACATGTAGGAAATTAGCTTTCAAGCCAACTCCCTGCATGTACCAGCTCCCGCAGAGCCTTGCTCCTCCCACTGCTGTTGCCGCTGTATGTTAGCAAACAGTTATTTTTGTAAACATTTAACCCCTGAATTTTTCAGCACTTACACGTTCACAAGCGGTGGGCAGGTAGGAGGTAGTGTTTGCAGTGAGCAGACTTTTAAGCCAGCTCCCCACAAGCACCGGCTCTTGCCTATCTTCCCCCACCCCTTCTCTGCTGCTTCTAATAGGCAGCAGTGTAGGGCCAGGGGAGGGGCATGAGTGGGTCCACCGGAGCCAGTATGTACAGAGAGCTGCCTTGAAAGCCCTCTTCTCGCGTGTACCATCTCCCACATACCACCCTTTATGCTGCTGCCCCTCTATCAGAAGTAGCAGCACAGGGGGAGGTAGGAGCTGATATGCGTGGGGAGCTGGCTTTTAAGAGTGGGGAGACGGTTTTAAAATTCAGCAGTTAGATGTGTATGAAAATAATAATTTGCTAACATCCCTAATCCGTATAAACAAACCACTTAGTTGGTTAGAATAATGTGGAGCCAGCCAAATGCAGTAAATGTAATGCCACCTTAAACAGCTAACTGTTTTGTGTAATTATATAAAATAAACTTTAAAATAATTGGGAAGAGAAGACAAAGTCACTGTCAAAGTCATTAGTTACAGTTGCAGTAGAAGAGTCCATACTTTGGTGCCTGAATGTGGGATGAAAATTCTTTGCCCATTATATTTGGAATGAAGATTTAGAAAACAGTCACAGGATTGAGAGAACTCAAATAAGATTAAACAATGATAGATGAATGGCTTTTTCCACATCCTGTCATGTACCAATATTAGGGAAGTGGATCAACATTTTCAGTTGGTTTATACCATTTATGGGTAAGAGTTGGCAGATTTCAAAAGGTAGGCATGCACAGTTAGATGCATATTTGTATACGCTTAACTAATGTGCAGGCAAATCAGATATTTGCATAAGCATGCAGTTATTTGTGACTGGCCATGTGTATTGGATACCTGATTTGCATGTGTATATCATTTGTAAGCACAAATATATGCATATAGTTTTATATGCTTAACTTTGCAAATCTAAGCCATAAATTGTGTTATAAGCAACGTTATAAGATGTTTCAAATGATTCCAAGGACTGATTCTGATACTATGGAGCTATGAAACAGTATGTGGACTTATGTCATCAATGTAAATATACATGGTAATGGAACTCCTGTTAGTTATGAAATGTTGATATAAATTTTCTCTAGAATATGTGAAAATAGGCCAATAGATTCTCTTCTAACCAAGAGAATGTTACAGTGCAAGGAAATGCCATATTCATTGGTCTGAAAAAATAAAAGGGGAAACAAAAATTGGTAGACTCCAAAGCCTGCCACTAAAGTTCTTGATTTCATAGCATTAATTGTATTGCGGCCTACCTAGACAGTTTATAATAGGAGTGGTTTCAAGTTGTGCTGGAACCACTCCTATTACAGGAGGCCAGCAGAAGAGAAGACTGATCATTGAATAGTGAGAAATAATGAAGGTTCTGACTATTTGGTAGTAATGTTCTATAACTAGTATAAGAGTGGCCTTGTCTTCAGGAGGTTTCAGTGACTTACAGTTTTTTGTGATGGCCAGACATTTTAAGTAGGAGAGCAAGGTGAATATATTAAATGGAAATGAAAAATCTTATATATTAAATTTAAAATCTTGGTCTTACCTTGAGGGTAGGGGTCTGGACTTGAAGATCTCTTGAAGTCCCTTCCAGTTCTAGTATTCTATGATTCAATGATGTTTGACTGTGGGAACTTACACGAAAAGGTAATTATAATGTTTCTGATTCGACAGATGATGAATAAGGTATTTGGAGGTACAGTGCACAAAAAAGATGTTAGAGAAGATGGAGTTTTCAGCATTACTCTGGATAACACATGCTCATTGTTCAGGTATGCAGGCACTTGTAATAACAAAAATGGAAGGGGAAATGCCATTCCAGAAATGAAATCTAGTGACAGTACAGACACAGGTTAAATTTGTAAGGTACAAAATGAAATTTCACTCATGTTTATGTGAAATTGCCTACCATTTGCTTATATAGCTTATTGCAACACTGCAGCTGCATATACAATTAAAATTAATGGCCCAGTTAAGCGCATGTATAGATATGCATTTTTGTATGCAGAACTTTAGCCTCTGTCTTTTTGAAACAGATAAGCAAACTCCTATGTCATTTTCTTGTTAAAAAAAAATCACGCTATACCTTACATATGCTGAAAAGGTTTGGGGGCTATATTCTATACTCTTCTGTCTTCCATGTATGTTACTTTGGAGTTTTCCTTATAGTTAGCTCTGTGATTTTCATCAACCTGAGCAAGGCTTTAGACATGGGCAACAGAAATGGGCTTTAGAAGGTACTTGCGCGAATTGGCTGCCCTGAAAAATTGATCCATATAGTTCAGTCTTTTCATGATGATATTCTGGGTCACATCCTTGGAAACATGACAGCACCTTTTGAAGTATCAAATAGTACAGAGCAAGGATGTGTCCTTGCTCCTGTCCTATTCAGCATCTACTTTTGGATGATGCTGTTAGTTCTTTCAAGGATTGTGCGTTAGCTGTTGGTAACATTTTCAACCTCCAAAAACTTCAGGCTTGCACCAAAGTGTTTGCTACACCTATCCATGATGTTCTGTTTGATTATGATGATTGCACATTGTTGGCTCATTCAGCTTTTTCATCATTTGAGACTTCTGCTCACTGTTTTGTACTCACTGTGAGTCTCAAGAAGACAGAGGCTATGTTCTAATCTGTTCAGAAAGAGCCCACTACTCCAATGATCATTGAGCTGCTTCAAGAAGATTGCCTATGTGAAATTGGTGGGACAAAATTCCTAACACAGTGGTTCTTAAACCGTGTGGTATCATGGGCATGGAAGCAATGCTTGTTAACAAACAGTTTTGGTGGGTTGGTCATTTTGTGAGGATGGATACTACAGATATACCAAAGATGGTCTTCTACAGCCAGCATGATCACAGAAAGCACTCTATTGGTAGTCAGTATATGCATTATAAAGATTTCTTAAAGGCTAACATGAAGTCATGCAGCATAACTCCAAGTAACCTGGAAATCATAGCTGAGGAAAGATTGTTCGGGTGGCAAACTATTGTACAGACTCTCGAGAGTCAACTTCTCCAGACATTATAAGAAAAATATAGGGTCTGAAAAGAGTGTACAATACGCACCGATGGTGGATTTTTACATGACATCTGTAATTGGATTTGCTGATAGAGGATTGGTTTAGTCACTCGTCAGTGGCATCATAGTAAAGTAAATGAGATCCATTGATCAGCTCAGCCCATATTCATATATATATTCTTTCTTCCCTAGTATAAAGTTTTATCTTAGTTTTGTATTTACTTTTGGCTAATACTACTGCTAAAGTTTCAGTGAAATCCTATGAACTGGCAAGTTCTTTCTCTTTTGCTGGGAGAAGTTTTATGAGATTGAGAGTAGTTAACATTGAGAGGGAACGTGGTTTGCAAAATGTTTTCTTAGTTGACCTTGCTTTGAAAAAGTGGAGAATCTGCACCCTAGAGCATTAGTCGTCTGAACTAAAAAATTCTTTCAGCAAGAAGCTAATATATTAATATGAAATAGTATCAGAAAATATGTTGTGTGCTTAATTTTTAATATTTCATAATTTAATATATAAATAAAGTTAGATCTTCTTTGTACTTACACTGATTCTGTTTTATCCTGTGTTTAGGGGCCTTCAGAAGGAGGAAATTGTTCTCCTCACTCATGGAGACAGCGTAGATAAAGTAGCTGATGGGTTCAGAAATGTTGCACAATCTGGGAACATTATAGCAGGTATGTATTCTACATAATTATGACTTTTCTCTTGAGCCTTTTTTTAAAAGGGAAAGTATCAAATTGTGACATAATTTACGTTTTGTAAAAATAAGCTTTTATGAAACTCAGGAATATCAGAAACATTTCTCAATGTTTAACTCAAACATTGCAACATTGTACTAATAAAGAAAAAGTCTGAAATTGATGCAGATTGAATTTTTATTTTAAATGTTCAAGTAAGAAATGTTAGAAAAGGCATTAGGGAAAAGCAAAATAGTTTTCAATAATTCTTTAATATTGATTATCTAATGTGTTTAATTCACTTTTTTTATTTACTATTGTCATTTCAGGGCATTTTAACAGTAATAAGAATTTGAAGTAATAAAATACATTTTTCAAATCTCTTGCATAGAGGGTCATGGGGAAATTGTATATATGTTTGCCCTGAGAGTTGACTAAGAAAAAGTACTTTAAGTTATTAACTCAGCTTGCAGCTCACTGAATGAAGCCACCTTTTTTGCAGCCAGTTGATTATAGGTTAGTTTTATGTGTACTAAGCTATTTTGTGAAATCTTAAACCGCTCATGTGGCTCTTAATTTAAATTCCTGAGTAAAAATCAAGGATAGAAACTTCTGAATTGTTGGAAGACCAGCATTCTGTAGAGTGGTTTCCATTAACCTCAGGTCAGGCACAGTGCTATATTTCATATGTAGCAAATCTTCAATACTGTCACCTGCAGGAGTACTGAATAGCAAACCTACTGTTGCCAATAGTCAAGATTACTTTTTTAAAGTACTTATTCAGCTTTTTAATAAAATTACAACTATATAACTACTATAGAGGAAACTGGCAAGCGTTTCAGATTCTCATTGTATAAAACTCCAATTCACTCTCCAAATTTTTGAAGTCTTTTAAAACATTAAGCAAAATTGAAAACCTAGAAATTTTCAGCACATCCAAAAGTTCTTGTCTAATTACTAGGGCTGTCAGTTGACATGTGTTAATGCCTGTGATTAACGCAGTCCAGGATTCATGCGTTACATTTTTTTAATGTATTAATGGCAGGCGTTAATGCTGCGCTGCCCCTTTGAAGTGCCGCTGTGGTGCTTCAAAAGGGCAGCGTAATACCGGAGATCAGCTTTGCGGTGGCTGCTTCTTAGAAATGCCACCTGCGTGTATTTGAAAGGGTCAGTGAAGCCCAGGGTCAGTTAGGGAGTCCCCAGCTGATCCCAGGCTCCAGGCGACATTTCCCCAGAACCCAGGATCAGCTGGGGAGTCCAGCCCAGCTGACCCCAGGTTTCTGTGAAGTGCCATGTGGAACCTGGGGTCAGCTGGTCTGGGCTCCCCAGCTGACTCCAGGTTCTGGGGAAATGCCTCATGGAGCCCGGGATCAGTTGGGGAGTCCCCTGCTGACCCCAGGCTCCATGGCGCAAGGGGCAGCAGCTGCACAGCTGATCCTCATCTTTTTGCTGCCACTGCCCCTTTAAAATGGCGCCTCCACACGTGTTTCAAAGGGGCAACCAGGGAGCCTGGGGTCAGCTGGGAACTGCCCAGCTGATTCTGGGCTTCCTGCGGCAGTGTAACCCAGGTTCTGCTGTTGTGGGAAGCCCAAGATAAGCTGAGAGTCCTCAGCTGACCAAAAGTTCTGCTGCCGCACGGAGCCATTTCCCCGCAGGGAGTCCCCAGCTGACCCCAGTCTCCACAGCAGCTGCCCCTTTGAAATGCCAGCGGTGGCATATTAAAGGGGCATCTGTGGAGCCCAGGGTCAGCTGGGGACTCCACAGCAGCTGAATGTGGGTTCTGGGGAAATGCAGCTGGGGAGTTGCACGGCTGGCCCTTTGAAACGCTGCCATGGGATTTTAATGCAGCAGTGCCGCACAGCTGTGCGGTGCTGCCACTTTGAAGTACCCCTGCCTCCCCTTTGCTGCCTGTATCTGAAAGAGACAGCAAAGTGGGGGTCAGAATCGACTAGTCCACTAGTCAACTAGTCTTTAACTTCCCTACTGGGGATCAGCTGGAGTGCCCAGCTGATCCCCTGGCTCCGCATTGTGCTGCACTTCAAAGGGGCAGCATTGCATGGAGCCCGGGGTCAGCTGGGGACTCTAGCTGATCCCAGGCTGCATGCAGCACTGCCCTGTTGAAACGCGGCAGCGGTGTTTCAAAGGGGAGGCGCTCACGATTAATTGCGCGATTAATCGAGATTAATTTTTTAATTGCTTGACAGCCCTAATAATTACCTAATCAGTGTTGAGGTTGAGCAAAGTATTCTCTTTAGAGAAGTTTTCCAAGTTCTGTAAAATACATATACTGGTACTAGCAGATGTACCCAGCATTGCTCAGGTCCTTAACTGTAATGTTTGTTTGGTTTTTTTAATTAAAAGGAAAATGTACATGCTTTATTTATGTGATTGTATAGGGTATGGGGTTGGAAATGGGGGTGGGGGCTCATGGCAGGGGGTGGGGGTGCAGTAGTCAAGGCAGGGGGGTGGGGGGGATGGGGGGGGTCAC